TCTAAGACAACTGTGATTTTTGTGCGCAGTACAGGATGTGCAGTCCAATTCTTAGGAATCACCTTATAGAATTAAGAAAAAACATCTTCGCAGCAATGGGAGGAGATATAGGCAATATTGTGACTGAATTCTCTTTTCTGATCGAAAAGATTCCTTCCAAACTATACAATCTCTTCTACTGAGCCTTTAATTCACAACCTCAGTCTTAAGATAATCATTTAAAGAAGATGATTTTTCAGTTAACTATTCTCATTGAGCGTTTCTATCATGATTTGATCTCTAAAAATGTGACTTGGAAATCGTGAGAAATGACTTTAAAAAGTTTTGTTTTAGCCTTTTTACCCATGGCCCTTCCCTCGAATGAGGTTAGTCTATCATTAGTGCATTCTTCGTGAAATTCCTATCGTATGAAATACTTGTTGTGAATAATATCTGTAAGGTAAGTGTCTAGAAATTTCTAGAATGTTTAGTCACGCCGACTTGCATACGTGACATTTCATACTGTTATGTTGTCACACAATGCAACTTTCTAGCACATTTCATTATGTTACGTTGTAAAACTACCAGGATAGTTATGTTGTAAGCTTTTCTGGAATACTTTATAAATGTATATAAAGACTCCGTCGTGTAGGAATAGTAGTTATAGTTGTTGGGAGTAAGCGACTGTTTAAAAAGCAGCTAAAAGCTATACCGAGAGAGAGAGAGAGAGCTAATATGGAAGATTGTTCATTCCCTGAATGTGAAGACAACTGTGCGATTAGTTGAGTCAGTGGTGAGCTAAGATATGGACTGTAGAGGGCTTCAATAACTTTAATTTATTAAGGATATTAAGGATAATTACTGTTCTACCTTTAAGCCGGAGTCGCTCCTTATTGAGAATATTACCCGTTGTTTAATAAAATAGTTGAGTTCGTAGGATTGTGATGTTCGTTCTGTAGGTTGAATTATTCTGCAACATACTGTTTTAGGAACATTGTGAACTCAAATTTCACTAATTTTGACGACTTCATTCCTATAACCCTCGATTTAAGTTCTGTTTCCTGTACATGTTATTGTTAATGATCGAGAGGTTTCGAGAGCCATCAACCCCCTCCCCCACAGTTTGCTTCCAGTCACATTATTTTACTTTCAGTTTCAATTACCAAATTTAACCGTGACTGTGTAAACAGTTGTAAAGAGGCAAGAGAGAGTGAATTATGCTTATTCGGCGAATTCATATCATCAGCTTGTGCAGTCCTTGTAAACCGTACAAATCATCAAGAATTTCTCTTTGAAGGGAAAATTGAGTGTTCACCAACTTTAGTATCATTTAGTCGGTCGTGGACATCTGTCAATCTTGAGGATGCTATCAATTTCCAAAATTCGGAGTTCAATTTTGATAGTTGCTCTGGCTCACGTCGCGGACAACTCGTTTACTTACAGCCACGTCAGTGACATCAAATGTGACTGGATTTGTTCTCTCCACGAGGCTGATCTAGCGCCGCTTAAGCGAGAAATGAAGACCTCAATAGCCCTAATGATCAAACTTGGTGTACGTTACAAGAAAGTGGGCGACAAATGCGCGAACGAGACTTCTGTTAACGCAACCGAATTCGCTTCTAATTATTGTCAAGTCTGCTTGGTAAACAAACGACTCTTTCCCTCGGTGACATCGAATAAAAGCTTGATAAATGCATCTCTTTATATAGAACACAGAGAAATACACGTCAATTGTACCTTGATACCAGCGAAGACAACTGTTTCAAGCCCTAAGAATTACAGCAGCCGTTCTTCCGCCTTTTGCCATCACATCAATTTCGAAGCTGAATTTGATAGCATCGGTTATCGTGCTGTGGAAACAGATGAATGCGTCAATTCCATCGTATCAGACAGGGCCAACAGCGCCGAAGGAGCTTTGGTGCTCAGAGTATGGCCTGAGCAGGTTTTATATTTCTTCACCGTTGTATTCCTCACAATTTTCATGTATTACTCCCTGGCCTTCCTTTGTCTATTCTACCCGACGGAGATCTTGCAAGATGGCGTTCCCTATATCATTCTTGAGGGAGCAAGTCCCGTTAGTCTCAGAAGCTTAGCGGGTAATTATTTCTTTTCAAAACAAGAGGGAATCTGGCACAAGACAAGAAAATTTTTTTTGCGAATTTTTATCATACCTCTTCCGCTTCTGTTTTTTAGTATAATCTTCTCTGATTTCGAAAATTTTAGCATTTTTAAAATGCAATGGTTCCGAAGATTCTTCATAGTGTCCGGATTTTGTTATTGTATTCAGGCTTTTTACATATCATTTTAGTTGAAAAGGTCAACGAGAACAAAGCCTTGTTTTCTCTGTAAGTTTTTTAGGCCAACAATCCTTTCCTGTCAAGATGAACTTCCTCAACTCATTTTAAACCATCTACGCCTCCAACCTTTGATCCTTATAGAGTGTTGGAGGATTTTTAACACGCGTTTGGTGAATTATGTAAAAACGTCCGCCTCAGTTATTCCTTCCTGCAGAGTTTCCATAATCTCTGTGCTTCGGCTTTTACTTTTTATCATTCTGTTGCTCTGTATACCAGTTGTGATAGTAGTGCTATTGATTATGATAAGTATACTAGCTTTAACAGGAATTTTTTTTACATCTCCTGTTGCAGCCTTGAGCATAGCTCATTACAGGCTGAGCCATGTAAATTCACGAAATTCACAGATATCTATTTCATTATTCAATCTCATACACAAGCCCTTCTCATCCGTTTCATTTTTTTCTGTCCATGTGCTTTTAGCATTTGCAGCTGTCGGTAGTCTGAAAGCTGCAGTAGGCTTTTTCGCGCTTTCTTTCTCAGAAGAACATCTTCCTTACGTGGCTTGTTTCGTTTTTGTTTTTTATTATGTTTGGACAAGCTATAGCTCTTTTACGAAAGGATACCACGAGCTTTCCCTGGCTTTGTACCGTTGCAACAAAATTTCAAGATCAGCTGATCAGCTCCTAAAATTACCCATTACTCCACACGAACTCGACAACATGATGGCAATTCCAAAAGAGCTCTTCGATATGGCATGTGAGGAGCTTATGCCCCTTAGAGAACGTGTCTGTATACTAATTTTGAAGATCACATTGCTCGTGTCATCTGTGTTGATTGTGTTTTCTTTGACCATGAAGTCCAGCTCTAATACCACGCCTTTGATGAAGACTCTCTTGACGTTTCTCACTTTATCGTTTCCAAAGATCGTCGCTATGTACGTTGGTGGAGGATGGCAGAAAAAATTGCGAGCAACGGTTATTGAAGAGAAAGTTCCTAAACTTGTGGAAAAGTTTATCCGTGAATCTTCTAAGACAACTCGTGGACATGAACAGA